TCCCGTGAACCAGGGTTGATTTTTAAATGAGTTGAAAACAAATCTTCTAATAGATTTGAAAACAAATCTATTTTATGATTTAAAAAAAAAGTTTCAAGCTGTCATTGCCCCCTTGACCTCATTTTTTTACTCCTGCCCTTTTAAACACAGCACGTGGGTTTCAATGACACAAAAGCCGTGAAGGGGACTCCGGCTCCGAGCGTTGTCGGCACGGCTGTCGTAACTGATGTCACCATGGGTGGGTGTCTCCTCGACATCATGGTCCGAGGTGGCACTGCAATGGGAGGCCAAGGGCACAGGGCACAGGCCTGTTGAGAAGATCAACACCACCGATCCCACGTCACTATCCTAAGTCTACAGAAAGGGCCTTGGAAATGCTGTTTGCTGTCTTCTCAGAACAACTCTGTTTCCTGCAGGAGTGCATATCACACCCCCAGGGCCCAAGCACAGTCCTCTTTCTCTGGTGGGCTCAGGCACGAGGGGCGCGCTTCATACAGCCGGCGCCCACTAAGTGCTGGCTGGCTTCAGTTGCTCCTTCCCAGCGCATTCTGACAAAACAAATGAAAGCAGATTTCAAAGGAGGCTACCATCCCTCTGGGAATCCCTTGGCAGAACTCGAAGGCAACAAGTGAAAACGATACAGTTCATTTGCATTTGCTGCCCTGGTCTGGCAACAATGCGGACAGGAAACATTCTTATGAGTAAACTAAGCCTCAGACAAAGACCAAACACCAGTGTAAACAACCAGTATTCTCTAGGTCTTTTCCGATTAAAAGGCCAAGGCAAATTTGGATAAGGGCATAGCAGTTTAATAACAAAAGATGCCTTTGTTAGAATCTAAAATCTTTTGTTGCACAAGAAATTTTAATTTTTGTATGTTATGGTACACCTGAAATAGCTACTGTATCTTACAAAGGTGTTTTTTTTCCCCTGCTCAGATTCTAAAGCTATGTAAGAAATAAGCAACAAAGGGAAAAAAAACACTACATGAAAATGAACGGTCTCCCTTCAGTCTTTACGATCAGGGTGGTTAATATGGAATATCAAAAAGAGAAAAAAGAAAAAAGAAAAAAAGAAAAGAAAGTGAAAATTCTTTACCCCCCTAAAACACTACATTATTTCTTTGTTGGAAAACATATGGAAGAAACTGGAACTATAAAAAAGCCATCCAAACTCAGCTCCTAAACTCTAATCTTGGAAGGACCAACACGGTTTTAGATTCAGTTAAGAACTTTACTGTTATAAATCCGACTTCCACTAGCATGTGTGTTTTGAATCCAACCCCCTAGTCTTTAACTTGAACTGTGTATAAGCAAGGTTCTTTTTTCCCTTCTGTCCATGCCTGCTGAATTCTTTTCATGAAATGGCCACAATGTTTAAAATGGAAGTGATTTTTTAAGGAGTCATCAGATTACTCGACTATCACGCGTAAGCTTCAAATATCAGTTTGTTGGATTGCTGGAATCATGGAAAAACCGTAAGTAAAGGGGAGACAGACACACCAACCTGTTGGACAAATTTACTTAATGATTTTAATAAAGTGTCTATGTTCACAGTAGCATAACACATTCTTTCCAGCCTTAGCATATGTCTTTAAAAAAAAAAAGGTTTATTGGGATATAATGCACATACCATAAAAGGCACTAATTTAAAGTGTACCATTCAGTAGTTTTATGGTATATTCAGAGTTGGGCAACCATCCCCATAATCTAATTTTAGAACATCTCATCACCCCCAAAAGAAACTGGGGTACCCTTCCCCAGTAACTCCCTGCCCCCTCTCCCCTCAGCCTTACAGCTGCTAATCCCGGTTCTCCATAGGAGTTGCTTATTCCAGACTTCATTTAAATGGAATTAAACAATACATGATCTTTTGGGGCTGGCTGCTTTCACTTTCCATGTTTTTAAAGTTCTCCCAGTCAACCTTAGTGCATTTCTTAAGGCTGGACTTTCCTAATCCTTTCCAAACAAATGACCCTTTCAACTTCAAATCCTGACCCACACCCCATCCCCTCCCCAGAAATGCCATTTTACTGGTGATTTGTCTCTCGAGAATCTACACGATAATTTGCTGTTTAGGTTCTTTCCAAACTTCTTGTTCTGGATTCTTCTTCTGGTAATAAAACACTAACTCCTTCACACACCAACCTTCTAACCATTTCTCTAACAATAGGCTGTGACTGTGTCTGGGGCAGAAAGATGACCGAATCCTTTTTAATAAGATGGCCACGACATGTTGAAAACCCGCATTAATTCCTTTTTGTAAGGCCACCGGAGTATGTGGCAGCCACTCACAATGTCCCAACCTCCTTCTTTTAGAGGGTCTGGTCACATTCTATGGATACGAAACCATCACGTCGGTGGGACTTTATCTGCTTCCAAAACCTTCTCCCTTTTCGAAATTAAAGATTTTCAGAAGCTCACCCTATGGCTGTGACAACGAGGAGACACTAACCCCTAAATATGCCAACACACTCTGGAACCAGCACCCCACTCTTCATGGCTGGACCAGACCGCCGGAAGGACACCAGGCTGGGATGGGACTCAGTAGCTACTTCTCCCAGAGTTGAGTGTTCTAGCAGCTCACGGAACATATGTATGCTCACTCCGGACATACCATGTAATCCCCACAGCTTCCGAGCTGCAGGGAGGGGCAGGCACGGAGCTGGAACTCCAGCAAACTGCATTGAGGGTCCCGGGTGCTTTGTAGCTTTCCACCAGGTTTTTAGGAGCCAAGCATTTCCAAGGCATCTTGGAGAAAAGCTCTGGCTACGCAGGATCATAAACATACACTGAAATACCCCCTTTCCTCTCCTGTCTGTTTTCTCAAGAAAGAAGCGCCTTTCGCGGACACTGGATGCCCATGAAGAACGCTCCAGGCGACAGGACGTCCGACTCTAAAATGCCGGACTGGGGCCACGCACAGGCCAGGCCAGGCCAGGCCATCACTGCTGCCTGTGAGCTTCAGAACTTAGCTGCCGTGAGAGAAAAACACCAGAGACACCACCCACCCCGCTCAAGAGGGTGCCGTTGTGAGATGGACGCCGTCTCTTGTGTCTCCCAAACCACACTTAGTGTTTCAAGGCCGGAGACCCCCTTTGGTTCCCCACCGCCGCCGCCGCCGCCACCGACCATCTGCGAGCCTGACAAGGGCGCCCCGAGCCTCTCGCCCAGCCCACTGAGCTCGAAGTTTAGGAGACAAAGAGCCGGAGAGCTCCGGCCGGTGGCGGGTCGGGCGTCGATCTGCGTCTCACTCCCCGCGGGAAACGCGCGCGGGCCGTCCACATCGGCTCTCACCCCATCGGGGACGCGCTCCTGCCCGGCATCCAAGAAGAAGAAGAAGGGCTTGTTTGTACAAACAGCCCGTCGTAACGGCGCCCGCGTCGGGGCCACGCGGCCCCCCGCTGCCTCGGGATGCCCCCCCCCTCACTCTTCCAGGCTCGGTCGTGATTTTTCACGTTGGCACCACGTGCATACCCTCGGCAACCATTACTCACCAACACGCCCTCAGCGTCCCCAGCCCCGGCTCTGCGCCTGCATGTAAAGTTTAATCGTGATCTAGTCACCCTACACCCATCGCGGACGCACCCAGTGAGCCACGTTTCAATGTTCTGAAAAGAACAGCAGCAGCCCCCTCCTCCCCGCCGTCCACAGCCCGTGGGGCCCAACTTCTCCCTCCTTCCCTCTCTCCCTCCCTCCCTCCCTCCTTCCCTACCTCTGCCCGACGCTACCAAAACAAAAGCTATCAGATTGCAAGCGATAGCGACTGTGGAGCGATATTGCTTATTAACTATGCACAAAGGAAGTACGGGGTCGGGGTAGGGAGTGCGACACCACTCCGGCCGCGCAGCAGCCACGGCCGGGGCTGCTCACTCGCAAGCCACACGCGCTCCTCTCGCCCCGCCGACGCCGCGGACCCTCGCGCTCCGTGACCGAGGGCGCAAGACTCCTCCGGCTGCGCAGGGCGTGTAGGTGTCGCCCGCGGCCGTGCGGCGGCGGCGGCGGCGGCGGCTACAGCCCGCGTTGCAGGCACGTGTGTGTGGAAATGCACGTCGGCTCCGACCACACACCCACTCCCGCACACTCGGGTGCTGCGCGACCACCGCCCCCCACCCCAACCCCAGCCCCTCCAGGAGCAGGAGAGCGTTCACCGGTCGGGTAGGAGGTGGGGGCCCGGACGCGCTCCCCGGAAAAGCCCGGCTGATGCAGGGCCCCCGCCTTCGCACTTTTTTTTTCCACGAGCTGCATGAAGGGATGGGGTCCAGGCGGGCACGCGCCCCGCACCCCAGAGCCGCACTGAGCAGCGCAGTGAAGCCAGGAGGCGAGGAACCCGCGGCGGATCCAGCGAAAGTGACGGGAAAGGACAGGAATCTAAAGCGCCCGAGGGGCAAAGCGCGCTGGGCGTCAGGAGGCCGCGCCAGGAGGTTTGGGGACGCGTCCTGGGGCTGCGGGTCCGCTCGGCGCGGCACCTCCCCATCCAGGACCAGCGGCACCGCACCGGCCGGTGGCTGCCCGCCGCCGCGCCGCGTCGACCCCGCCGCGAGGGTTCCGCGCGGCCGCAGGAGCTGTCACCGCCGTCAGCGCGCGGCGCCGGAGCCGGGGCGGCACGCCGAGCGGCCCCGCGCGCCTGGAGGCGGACGAGATGCGTGTTGCGGAGCCCGGCCCGGTGCGAACTTCCCGGATCGAGTCCCCGCGCCCGGCCGGGAAGTGAGCGCTGCGGGGACGCGCTGCCCGCGGGGCAGGGCTCTCGGGACCGCAAAACAGAAAGCCCCCGAGGCCCCTCCTGCGGGGGGGGGGGGCGGCGGCGCGCCGAACCGGGGTCCGCGGGGCTTAAACACCCCCAAGCCCCGGCTCCCCGCCGAGCCCCTCCGCGCCCCGCCCGGCCGCTCCCGCGCCCCCGGGGCCCGACAGCTGCGACCACTCGAATTTCGCAAAAAACAGGGCGCAGCCCCTCGCAGGAAAAGTTCCCGCAGTGGCCGCGGGCGGCGGGCAAATACTCACTTTCTCCACTCGTCGGCCAGAGCGAGAGCGCGGCGGAGAAAAACAGGAGCCCCCACAGCGAGGTCAGGGACCCTCCTCCGGAGCCGGACTTCATTCCTTTGATTTGGGACGCAATTCCCCTTTCTCAAAAATAAAAGGGGTTGGGGAGGAAAAGAAAAAAAGTCTCCAACGCGGTCTTCGCCCCCCTTCCACAGGCGAGGGCGAAGGAAACAATACTCCGAAGGCGGAGCGCAGCGGACGGGGCGGGCGGCGCGGCGGGCCCCTCAGCGCCGGCAGCCGCAGCCCAGGGCTCGGTCGAGTCGGGAACCCGGGGCGCGCCGGGGCGGGCTGTCGGCGTCGTCGGCCTCCATTTTCAAACCAGAGAGGCAGGAGGGGGGGAAACTGCGGGGAGAGGGGGCAAAGCCCAAATCCGTCCGGGCCAGGCGCAACAAACCTGACCCCGGCCCCGGGGAGGAGCTGTCCGCCGCCCGAGCCTCGGCGGCGGGAGGGCGCGACGCAGTTCGCAGGATCGCCCCGAAGTCCCCGGCGCGGGCGAGGCCGGTCGGGCCGAAATGCGGAGCGAAAATGAATGAGCGGCTCCTCGCCTGCTGGTCCTCCGGACTCCGCTCGCCGCCGCCGCCGCCGCCGCCGCCGCCGCCGCCGCCTCCCTCGGCGCCGCCGCCGGGAGCTCCTGCCCAAAACCAGGACACACACAAAGCGGCGGGCCGCCCGCGCCGCGCTCAGCACTCCCGCCGCCCGCCCCGCGCCAGCCCCCGCCCGGCCCCCGCCTGCCGCGCCGCCGGCCCCGCGCGCGGGGGCTCCGGCGAGCTGAAGGTCAAAGCCGAGGCGCGCGGCGCGCCGTGGAGCTCCCCCGGCGCGGGAGGGGCGTGGAGGGCCCGGGGAGCGGGGCCGAGGGTCTCCGAGCGCCGGGCACGGGCGCGCCTGGAGCAGGCTCGCTGGCAGCGTCCCTCTCGCTCTCCCGCCGCTCTCGAGTTCGCCCGGTGCGCTCGCTCCTCCTCAGGTTTTTTTCCCCTTTTTTTTTTTTCCGCTCAGCGGAGTTAATGCTGGTAAACAAGAGCCTCAGCCTCGCCGCGCCGCTGCCGCCGCCGCCGCCGCCGCCGCTGCCACACACTGGGGGCTGGCGCGCGCGCGCTCCGGCCCGCGCACACGCGCCCGCGCGCTCCCGAGAGCCGCCACCGCCGCAGCCGCGGCGCGCCCAGGGCCCGGCCCAGACCGGCGCGCGCCAAGAGCCGGAGCCCGGGATTCCAGGGACGTGCGGAGCGGAGCCGGAGCGTGGGGTGCGAGGCGGAGAGGCACCGCCCCCGTCCCCCGCCCGCGCTGCCGCCGGCGCGCACCCAGACACACACTCGCGCGCGCGCGCGCCCACTTGCTCACGCTCCCACCCGCACTGCGCCGGCCACCCTGCACGCGCGCTCCCCTCCCGCAAGACTCCAAAAACAATGCCCCCGGCGCCGGTCCGGGCTGGGCGGAGGGGCCGAACGGGGAGAGGATAAGGGGAGGGAGTGGGGTGGGCGGGGAGTGCGGGGCCCGAGAGGTTCATTGAAAACAACAACGGCGCGGCTGGAAAGCGCGTTTCCCCGGTTCTTGAAAAGCTTCATTGTTTCTTGCAGCTGTTGCAAAATAAATAAATAAGTGCGTGCATGCGGCATTTTTTCGCAGCGCGCTGGAAAGCCCGAACGTGGAGGGAGGGGCACACCTGGGAGAAAGGAGGCTCCCAGGCTCCCAAGGCGGGCACTTTCCTGCAAGGCTGCGGCGGCCGCCGCATCGCGACTTGGAGCCCAGAGTTCCAGGGGCTCGCGGGGATCTGAGGGGGTAGGGCGCGGCCCTTGGAGCTCGGCTGGGGGATGCGAGGGGGGACTGCCCGCCGCGAGTCGGGAGTCTGGGAAGGGGGGGCGCAGGCGGGCTGCTGCCCCGCGTGCCCAGGGCGCGTCCCCACGGCGACCGCCAGGGGGCGCAAAAGGCGCCGGGGATGGCTGGCCCGCGGATCACCTCCCTCCCTCCGGGAGAGGAAATGTGGGGGCCCCGCGTGGGGGCCCGGCGGCCTGGGTCGCGCTGGCGGGGGCCTCGAGGACCCGCGGCCCGCCCCGAATGCTCCTCGCGATGCTCGGCGCTCCACCACGTGGGCAGCTTCGGGGAGCGACCGAAGCGCGTGCACTGTGCAGGCTGCGGTGGCCCCGAGGCTAGGGGGTGTGTCCTAGGGGCCCCCGGAGGACGAGGTCCGGGAGCCGCGGCCCAGACCCGTCTCCGGGCTAGAGTCCGGGCTCTGGAACACGCCACACGCGCGCGACCAGTGGTCCCAGCAGAAACCCACCCGCACCTGCCTCGGGTCCTCCCGGGCCCCTCCCTCTGGCTTCCTTTGCTGTGTAAGTGACTGGAAACCAGCGCCAACCCCGTCTCCCCTGCGCTCCTCCGGCGTGTACCCGACGAGAGGCTTCCCCAAAGCCATCGAACGAATACATGCTGCGCAGCCCAGGTCCTTCGAGGGGGACACGGTGGCGATGGCTGGAGAGAGGAGTTTGAAATACGTGGACTTTTAAAAATAGTGAGTGGACCACGTGTGGCCTTTAATGTGATCGGGTTTCATGACCCGGGCTAATTGATGTCAATAATAAATAAAAAAAGAAAATGCCTCATGAAACTCGTGCACGGCTGGATCCAGTGGGAGCGTTTGTCTCGTAAACAACCGGGCTGTCTGCTCGGGGAAAACATCTGTTCTAGGGAGAAAAGGCAGGTTTATTTATTTATTTTTTTACTCTCTAATTGTAAAAGACTTCCGAGTTACATTATGCACCCCGTCGTTTGTAAACAATTTTTTTAAAAAAAAAAATGAAGATCTGAAAACAAGGCAAGAGCTATCATAATGGAAACCTAGGCTCTCTCCCCCCACTTATATTTATTCCCTAGATCATTTTTCTCCTTGGAAATTTTTAGCTCAATTCAGTGAGTCAGTTGTATAGAACGGACATAAATCTTTTTTTTACTTAAGAGAGTTATTCATGTGGGATTGTTTTTGCTTAACTGAAATTCAGCTTAATTTTTAAATAAAATGTTCCAGTTTCAGATGTGCTGGACATGAACAAAGCAAGAAGTATATTAGAATCCTTTTAAAAGAAACTTAAATTTAGCATGTATCATTTAAAAATTAGGCACTCCTGTGAATAATTAAAATTCAGTCTACTGATTGTTAAATATTTGTTCAGAGTTCCCTGCATGAGGTTGGTCTGGATGCCTACAGATTCAGTTACATGAAAAGGAAAATCCATATTGTATTTTCACTATATTTGGTGTTTAGAATCGTTAGATACTAGCTTGTAAATTTAGAAGTTGAGAGCCGACGTTGAGAAGACTAATGCTAATATAAAAATCTTTAAATACCACACAACATATTTTTACTATTAGTAATAAAAACTCCCCTTCAGTCCTCCCTAGGGACATGAAGTACATAGAACAAAGAGAAATGCTTCGTTATTTAAATTGTAGGGTTTTTTAAAAAAAAAACTAGGATGACTTTTCATTTGTATATTTTTAAAGTGCTTGTATTTTCTTAAAGTAGTAGGAAATCGATAAGATTAAGCTATTTCAGGCAGTGAAGTTAGATAGTTATTATGTAGCTTAATAGGAATAAAGAATCAAAATGTAGTTTCCCTTTCAGCTTCGACCTGATCACATAGACAAAGAAGGCGATTATTATTTTTTTTCAATGATTACATTCTACATATAGAAGTGAAACTTATTTTTTCAACCTTGGAAATAAAATCACATAGTGAAACAGGAGTCTTTGCTTTATGACCACACTGACAATGTATCAAACTCTGTTACTTTTTACACAATTCTCTCCCCACCCCACCCCCATCTTATAAATTTCTCTTCTTTTGGAGCAGAAACTGGTTGCTCATTTTCATTTTTTAAAAAACTGCTTACTTGAAAGTCGCTTTATGTAAAATTATTCTGCTCCGTGTACCAGAGTCCCCCCAAATGGAATATATATCTAGTGAACACACCAGACGCAGCACAACTGACCATAGACCAATATTAGTAGTAATATGATACATTGTGATCTATTCCCAGAAAGGAATGGTACTCAGTAGCAAAAGTGAATGAACTACAGCCACATGTAACAGGGGCAGACCTTTGAAACACAACATTAAGGGGTGAGGAGGGAAGCAAGTTCTGAAAAGCAAGTTCTGGAAGCAAGTTCTTTACCACAAATGATTTTGTGGTAAAGCTCTTAAGAGAGGGTGCACAACAAGAAATATATGGCAACATTTTCAAAGCCAAAGAATGAAATACAGGATGAAATATTTTTGTTTTGTGTTGTCATCTGAACAAGAGGATTAGTGAGGGACAAAACATCCAGGGCCCTGCCTACCTTTGGGAGGGGGCGGGACCCACCCAGAGACAGTGCAGTATTCTTAGAAATCTGTCCATTCTTGGACCTGGGGTCGGGTTTACAGTTGCTACTCCATCAATATGCTTTGTAACCAATGCACATGTTACACGTATTTTGTGTGCATAATATATTAAAGGAGATAATAAAAATCAGTGGAGAAAAGACCCAAGCAAGAGTATCCCACTTTTCCAATATGATTCTCCCAGATTCCAAGCTGTTAGTACAGGCACTTCAAAAGAACTACAGAAACGAGGTGCTCAAGGTCTCATGCTTCAGGGTGCATCTCAGGGGAATGCATGTGCCCACATCGGACCAATGCAATTCGAAACAAAAACAAATCCTGACATAAGCAAACAAAAAAAGTTAAAGAATTCTCTTCAGAGGTCCTCGGGATCATAGGTGAAGAGGGCATTGTCTAAACTGTCTGGCAGTTTCCTATAAGGGTGAGTGGACTCCTAACATGTAATCCAGCAAATCTACCCCTTGCAATTTAAACAAAAGAAATGAAAATATGTCCACATACACACACACACACCTGTGTGGAAATGTTGATCATCATTTCATTTAAAATAGCAAAAAAGAAGAGGAAAAAAGAAATCCTGGCCAGTGTGGCTCAGTTGGTTGGAGCGTTATCCCATACACCAAAGGGTCACAGGTTCGATCCCCAGTCATGGCACATGCCTAGGTTGCACGTCCGGTCCCCGTTCGGGGAGCAACTGATCGATGTT